CATCTAAGCTACGCTTGGAAAATCACTATACTGTCTCCTCAAAATTCAAAAAGGCCGATTGTTAGTTGCCTTGGCTCTGTGTGCCACCCTCTAAGTCGCTTCCTTGTAGATATAACTGACCCATTAATAGGAAAGTCCTTTTCGTATGTCCGAAACGCCGCCCACTTAGTGGAAATAATCAAAGATTTTACCATTCAATCCAACTAGATAAGTTGGTTCACCAAAGTACGTTGGTGAACAAACACACTATCTTGAAAGAACGATAACAGCTATTAAACTTGAGAAAACTTTTTTCCTGAATTTTTTTTAATAGACTATTTTTTTAATAAATTTCAAGCAACAGTAGTAACACATCCTCATTCAATGAATATTAAATGTTTCCTTATAAGGAATTATTATCATTACGCTTACAATTTCAGCTTAAGATCAGCGGAAACTGAACATCAATGTAACTAATTATACTTGTGGCGATAATTTTGAACACTTGATCCTGAAATGATGATTATGTTAACATTTTTAATCTGAAATTATTTCTTATTAAAATAAACGCTATTTTTAGTGGATATATGTGTTTGATATGACATGCCTGTTTTCTATTTTTTTAATTTTCTTAAGCAGTAAAATTAATAACAATCGTAGATCGATGAGTCCTGCAAAAGAAAAACGTATCTCTAGACAAGAATCGAACCTGTGTCCCCTTTTTCGTCAGGATAGCGTGTCGTTGCCAACTCTGTCACGGGAGACCGTTATGATAAAGCAAGGGTCAATTACGTATTTACAGTAAGCATCTTGAGATCTCTTCAAATCTACATCGGCTTATTTAATCCTCATACCCGAAACATAAACACAGTTTTTTTAAAAAAAAATTTTTATATACCTTATTTAATACATTATTTCTCAAATTGCATTCTTAGTGGGCAAAAATGTTTGAGACATCTCTGACTTTTATTTTTTAAACAGTGAAATTAATAACGGCATAGAGAGAAATGTCCTATTAAAATAAAATGCGCTTCCCGACAGGAATTGCACCCGTATACCAGGGGTGGACATGATTCCATGCGCCAATATTTTGTATGATTAATTGAAATGCGCCACACAAACATTCACTTCCTTTCAGTACGTGTTGTAATATGGACATATTTTAAAGTTATAATAAAATCTATTTATTTGAAAAATCTATGCTTATGACCAGGGGTGTATCCTTTTAGCACTTTCGCAAAGGACGTGCAATAAATATAAAATCACTGAAATGAATGAGTAGAAGTGGCTTAGTTTCTTTTCATCAAAAGGATGCAATGCGCCATTTGTAAGCATCCAATGTACCACTTATGGCGCATGCGCCACAGGTTGGCCATACTTGCCGTATACCCTTTTCCATCAGGGAAAACACTCCTATATCAGAAGCCTACCGTTACATATTTGTCCACGAAGCATCTTCTTGATAAACTAAAGTTCAAATATCTATTTAAAAAATAATCTCGGGTTGAGTCTTCTACGAATCTATATTCAGATTCTAAATCGAGAAATCCTTCTAGAAAATAAAAGAAGATAAAAATACAAAAAAAACAAAAAACAAAAACAAACAGGGCTGTCAACCCAAACACGTCTACCCACAGAATAACGTATTTTATTACGCGATTTGATAAAAGGGTGAATGGAGATTCATAACGATTAAATTAATACGTTACTTGATAATAAACGAATTATACAGCATGTACTTGACATGATTTACCCCGGAAAACAAAAGCGATTTTGTCATTTGTGTGTCGAGGTTTCTATCTGAATTTCATTATTTACATTCTTTACACGCGGTTTGTTGTTCTCATCGTTGTTGTTAATATCACAATATTTCGACCTTTGTCCCCACTGCCTTCCTAAGATGCTTGTCGATCCGGATAGCCTTCAGGCAATTTGAACCGAAACTTTTATTTAATCTACGACCGAAACATTATGATGATAACAAAAAAGATGAGGCCATTGTAATTATTCAGACTTTGAATTTAAATCTCAAGCACCTGAAAATGTTAGCCATTGGTTGCTGATCGTATGTTTGGGAAAAGATATATTTATATATTTACATTTTTATATATCAGTACAATTTTAGGAAAATCTATGACAAAGTGGAACTTTTCTTTGTGTGACGTATTTAGGTCCTCATTGAACTAAAGTAATGTTTACCTCGATATAACTACACATCCGCATGAAGGAGAGAGGACGCTGACAATTTAAACATTTCTATTTTTAAAAAATATGTTTTTGGGTATATATTTCTAGCTATCCTATTGCATTCATTTTTTTTTCTTTTTGTTTATGTTTTGATAACTTTTTTTATTAATTATTCCACATTGTGATAATAGAATATTTACTAAGAAAGATGAAATGTAGGAATTTGGACGTAAATTTATTGTGAAGGATCTAGTGATTAAAGCACTTTTTGTGCATTTTCATCAAAGTAAATTGTTTTCTGTTGTAATTAAAGTAGCATTTTTAAAAACAGAATTATGGTCAGATTCATTGAGCAACTAACGAATTGAAGGTGTTGTTTGTAAAACATCTCTTTTGTATTCACTTAATCGTTTAAATTCGTTAATGTTTCACCTATGTATTCCTAGTCGCAATTATTACAAGTGATAGAGTAAATTTTTAAATTTGTCCTTCAGGTTTGAGCATATTATTACTTTATTTTGTATTAATAAAGTTTTTTTTTTATCGTTTTAGAAGCAGTTTTACCAAAGTTAATTCTTCAAGTTTCAGTGCCACCTCTCCTTCGAGCGCACATAAACATCATTTTAGTCCGACGAACTCATAAATGATTATATTCATCACACGAAAAGCTGTTTCCCCTTTGTCATAGCTTTTCCTAAAAGATACTATGTTTGTATAAAAAGGCACGATAGTTTTCAAGAGTTATGGATAATCCCGCTGGATAGAGATAATCCAGAATGTTGTTGATACCAGCGGGCATTGAAGCCTAAGAATGGTAGGTAAATAATTAACCAGTTAGTCATTACCAGAGAAAAGAAAAAACATTATCAGTTTTTAAATAAGAACGGTGAAACTCGGGTTGTGGTTTTAAATATTTCGAAGGCCTTTGATAGCGTTTGACATGCTGGCCTACTCCACAAGCTCTGGCGCTATGGTTTCGCTGTTTGAATATTTGGGTTAATTAATCATGCAATAAAGTTTGTGTCGAATGGCCACGCTTCTAGATCATTCTACATTAATGCTGGGTTCACCTGTGCTTGATCCTTGCACATATGTTGTTGCTCATCTTCATCAACGACCTAACTGATGATATCAGTTCGCACCTATGTATTTATGATGATGACTACTCAACTATTTACTTCTGTGTTAATAGAAAATCCGGTAGGTCGGAGAAAGTAAAACTGGCAGCGGCTCTCGAAAATGACCTCCGATCAGTTGTTAACTGGGGCAAGAAATTGCTTGTAAATGTTAACGCTTTCAAAAGCAAAAGCACTATTTTTAATTACCATATTGAAACAGTTTTGCTCTTCCTTAGCATGCTGATGCTAAAACTCAGAAGGGTAACTCATTGCGATTATGGTCTAATGTTTTTACTGATATAAATTGGAGTGGTTTTCGTGAATCATTTGCTAGGTCTGTTGGTAGGAAAGTTGGTTTAATGTGTTGAACCTGATAATTTTTCTTGTCAGATTCCATCTTATACATTTATAAATATACCATCCGTCTGCTTCGAATATTGATACCATATCTGGTCTGGTGTTCCTACTATATATCTTAAGATTCTCGCCAAAACCCCCAAAAAGCGTCTGTAATGTTATTGGTCCTGACCTGGATTTTTGACTTTTCCATCGTAGTGACGTGAATTTTCTCTGTCTTTTTTATAAATATTTTCCTCATAGTTGTTCTAATGAGCTCTCCTGCGTAACTGTATTCATTGTAAATATACATTAGAGTTTCATTTTTAAATGATGTTATTTTTATTCCTCACGTCCAACAGACAAATTTTACATATGGAGACTAGTTAAGACTACATAGAGAATTTGAGGTATCATGGTGGCTGTAGTAAAAACGGTAAGTAAGAATAAGTTTGGTGTAAGAAATACTGTAATATGTTTGAACCAGTAATCGTGGCTAAGTTTAAGATAAGACAAATTAAAGACCAGCTTTCCTATATACCCCTTTTTGGCCTTGTGCCACGTTTTTGTATTACAACAAAATCAATATTGCTCTCCTCCTCCTTTTTAACTCGACCGTATGATTTTACGCGTGCTACTTGATTGGCAAATAAGTTTGATTGTTCTATTTTTCAATAAGCTAGGTAAAAGCGTCTGTTCTATTCTAATAGTTTCTTTTCTCGCACTTCTCTTCAGTGGAAATCTCTGCGGGTTTCTTGCTTCGCTGTCACCTACAATCTTCAAAAGATTTAAATGCAATATCAATCGCCATCTTCTATAATTTGAAATCGGTATTTTTATTGTCCTTTTTATTCACTAAAGTTTTCCCCTTCTTATTTACGTTTGTGTCTTAGTAGCATCACAACCTTATTTTGAGGGAATGGTTAAAAAGAAATGATTGCAGAATATTTTTATAGAAGATTTTTTTTTTATTCTTCAGACATGTTGCAACAAATTTACGGGTACAAAATGCAGAAAAATTTGTGAAAATGATATTGCAAATAATGGTGAATACATAATTGAATGAAATATAATTGTAGTTTATTATTTGAAAAATAAAGTCGATAAACAAAAACGGAAAATAGTTATAAACTCAACCTGATAATTGTAGTGTTTCATATGTAAACAGGAAAAAAATGAATGAAAAGCTAGAAAATTAATGAAATTTCACCAAGAATCTGCTTCAGTGGTTAAATGTTTGTTGCTCCAACAAATGAGGATTTAAAAAAAAACTTATATAATCTTCATAATTATACGATAAAATAGGACTTGCATGATTTTACAAGCATGATGACTAACTTGGTAATATGTGTGTAATGTTCATGATCAAATGAGCAAAAATTACTGGTGTAAACATTTACAGCAGGAATCAGCTACAAAAGTGCCAACGGAATGTCTATCTTTTATACCACTGTTTATATAAACGCCAGAGACCAGAACACGTTCTACAGCACATAAACACGAACAGTCAGGGTCCCGCCTAGATGAAAATAAACAAATAAAAATTATGAGAGAGTTGTCTGAGAAAAACAATTACTATACACTGATTTACGAATAGGTATCCTCGATATTGTTGTTATTGTTGTTCTGATGTTAGAAACGGTCTAAATACTTATTTTTCATGAACCCATAGGTGTGGGTGGGGGGGCTAGAAGAGGTAGATTCATACTTTCCCAAGTGAATATAGCAAACCTAAGTGGAATTTGAATGCGGCTCTCCTATTAACAATTCCGATCCTTTATTCATTACACCACTCGCACATCCAAGCTTACAGCAATTGGTATTCCGAGGCGGAGGTCATCTTGATACAGACCACGCTCGATGTTGCTTAATTTCGAAGATCGTTCGGGAACTAGTGTTTCATCGTGATGTAGCCATAAGCCAAGTAGGATAATAGTATCGTTCTGAAGAATTTTCATAGCCATTTCCTCTCTCTAGCGATGTGCGACTTAGGAAACTTTGCATTCTCCATACAGTCCATCCATTTCCATTTCAATTGCTCACCTTGTGTTTCAGGTGATTTCAACGCTATTGGGTTTCGTACACACTCTATGTACCGTGGACCTTCAAGCGATCATGACTCTCCACAATTTCCTGTTTTTTGGTCTGTCTATATTTCTGAAATGAGATATTACGTACATTATTTACATTATTCGGACTATTGTCCTCATCTTTGTCGCCATATTTATCACAACGTTTCGGCCGTTGTACGCTCCGGCCTTCTTCAGGTGGTTGGAATTTAGAACTGAACCCTTTATTTCGCTCACTGTTCTAGTTCAACGTGCCATGTTTGATGGATGTCAGTTATCAGTTATCTCCTGCTAATTTCCCTCTGAAACTTCTCCACTGCCTTTACCGGGTATTGAACTCACACTCTTTGGGTTTTGTCACTGGATCTAACCAACGCCTTTATCCACTGTGCCATGTGTCCTTGAGGAAGGCCGGGGCGTACAACGGCCGAAATGTTGTAATAAATATGGCGACAAAGATGAGGACAATAGTCCGAATAATGTAAATAATGTACATAATACCTCATCTCAGAAATATAGACAGGCTTTTTAGATATTAAATATTTTGTGTGAAGAACACATGGCACAGTGGATACCTGAAGAAGGCCGGAGCGTACAACGACCGAAACGTTGTGATAAATATGGCGACAAAGATGAGGACAATAGTCCGAATAATGTAAATAATGTTCCTGTTTTTTGTAGCTTTAATGTGTATTTCTGTTATATATCCTAAACATTGTTCTGTTATCCATTTACCCGAGGTCGCTAGGAAGGTTTTATGTTTATTCCGATTCCTCACCTGCCTTTAATCTGTATCAAGTTTTCCAAGCCCGCTTTCCTAATTATATGCCCTAGAAATTTCAACGGTTGCATCATCTCTTCATTATCATTCCGTATACAGGAGCTTTGCTGTCGGTATAAATTTTGGACGCATCTTGGGTGCAGAACATATGGAACGGGTTTGATAATTATAACGAATTAGGGACATTTCTTTTTGTAGTGTTTCCTCAGAAGTATTTGTCATTTGTTTATATGGAATAATGTTTTCACAGGTTGATCATCTTCTATAGTTATGGGATTTTCATCGGCTTTCATTTTTGCATTTAGCATGTTTGACACACTATTCTGAAAATGCCTTCTTCAGAAGAGAATATGACAAATCGTTGCATATTTTCTATTATGTACTGATGTGACGAGGAATAGAAAGGGGAAAAGAGCCAACCACTAACAGTAAGGCCTGCAGGAACTACAGAAAACAACATTCTTTAGGAAACCATGAAATCAGGTAAGGTTGATCATGTGTTATGCGACAAGCATGAGGAGACTAGTTTGAGTAAATCAGTGTATAAAAAATAAATATCAAACAAAATAAATATCAATAAATAATAAAAATGATTAATATCTTCATCAAAATCAACTATTTTATCAGTTTACTGTTAACAATCACAAATAATAAAAAACTAGATTTTGGGGTTAGATTCAGAAAAAATAATTCATCATTAAGTTATTCAATCCTTGAGATCTCCAAACTAGATATCACCGTCGTCGTCTCATCGATTTGACTGTTCCTGGTGTCTATAATATGAAGGTCAAAGAAATTAGAAAACTTAAATTATTAAATAATTATGAAAAGGTTAATTACATTTAATTCTAGATTGAGGTTATCAGGGTGTAGGCGTTTAGGCCACGATCATCCCAATTATAATTGGGGCGGTGGAGCTTATACTACCGAAACTAAAAACCTACATTAAGAAAACTGAAATAAAGCTTAGTATTCCATTACATCGGAAGTCTTCATTGCTTGGCACTGCAAATATACTGTGAAAGCAGCGATTTGATTCAGGTCGTTTGATGATGAAAAATATCAGTTTCCTTGTTTGTATTTTCTGAAGAATCAGAATTCTTTAATTAACGCTTCCTTAAATATTCTAGGATAACAATTTTAACAAAATATATATGTATAAAAGCATGTCATTATTTGAAGACGTAAGAGGGTACAAATGAAAAGATTCAGAACTGACAGTATTTTCCATTTCACTGAAGAAGACATTAGAAATGAAAGACCGTCATCATCCATTCTGATTTTACATGCATTCTTTTTCTCGCGAATACCAGTGTCTCTGGATACATTTTTTTTTTTGCCGTCTACAATCGCATTGAATACGGAATTGTCCATTATTTATCCTAAGTAATGGTAGTGTATAATGCACGTGCTAATTAACATAATAACGGAGGAACAGCTGATGATGATGATGACGATGATGATGACTTAATAATAATAATAATAATAATAATAATAAGAAGAAGAAGAAGAAGAAAAGAATAAGGAAAATAATAAAAATAATAATAAGATGAAGAAAAGAATAATAATAATAATAATAATAATAATAAGTTAGGGTACATTTGAATTACTCTGAAATAAAGTTACAGTGTAACCCGGATATAAGAGACTCGGATATAAGTGAAACCCGGATATAAGAGAGATTTTCTCTGGTCCCAAAGTGTTCCCATATTTACCTAAACAAAATAGACCAAACCCGGATATAAGAGAAACCCGGATATAAGAGACTTCTTCTCCGGTCCCGACAACTCTCTTATATCCGGGTTACACTGTATTTCTCAATCTATTAAACCTTGTTTTTTAAGTAGAAAAATATAAATTTTTGCTTTTGGATGTGTCACGACATATAGCCTAGTCGACTTCATACAGGGTCTCAACAGTTTTCTTTTTTTATATTTCTGCTTCTTTTATGAGCGTTTTAAATAAACATTTCTAATTTAAAGTCTAGCGTTTCAACATTTGTTTTTGGTGTTGATGCTTTTATCAGCATTTTTTCATTGGTATTAATGTGCATCATTTCAAATTTAAAGTTTAGCGTCGCGATATCTTCCGCGTTTCCACTTATTCTATTGATATAACTAACGCTTTGGTTGAGTTATTCATCCCGTCCCCTTATATCAGTCCTCTCCAGGATTATTAGAACGGCAAGGCCAATTCCTTTGTTTTTTTTGTCTTTCAATGAATATGAGACAAAAGTTCAGTCCGCTCTTCAGGAGATGAAATGTTTGCTCTATTGGGTTAAGTTCTAGTGATTGACTTGGTCAGTCTAAAACTGTCCACATTTTACCCCTGATGGAGTCTTTTGTCATGTTGGTAGTATTTTTGGGGTTATTATCCTGCTGCATGATAAACTTCGTCCCGATAAGTTTGGATGCCTGTCTCTATGTTAATTGGAAGACAAAATGTTTCTGTAGATTTCTGAATTTATTCTGCTGCTTCCATCATGAGTTAAATCAACAAATATTAATGAGCCTATTCCAGAAGCAGCCATAAAAGTTCAAGACAAGACATTGCGTCCATGATGCTTCACAGATGAGCTTGTATGTTTTGGATCATAAGCAGATCCTTTCTCTTTCCACACGTCAGCATTTCCATCACTTTTGGTAGAGATTATTCTTGGCTTCATGAGTCCATAAAACTTTCTTCCAGATCTTTTGTCGCTCATCTCCGTACTTTGAAAATTTCAATCTGGCCTTCCGATTCTAACTGCTGATGAGTGATTTGCATCTTGTGGTATGGTCTCTATATTTCTGCTCTTGAAGTCTTCTTTGAAGGGTAGATTGTGAAACCATCTCCCTGAACTCTGCAGGTTGTTGGTGATGTCACTGATTGTTACTTTTCGGTTTTTCATCACAACTCTCATAAAGTTTCTGTCATCAACTGCTGTTATTTTCCTTGGCCGACCTGTTCTATGAATGTTGCTCAGTACAACAGTTCCAAGTTGTTGTGTTGGCTATACCCATTGTTTATTCCAATGGCTCTGATCAATTTTCCTTTTCTTCCCAGCTTCAAAATATATATACTTTTCTCTCATAGACATATATATATATATATATATATATATATATATATATATATATATATATATGTGTGTGTGTGTATATATATATATATATATATATATATATATATATATATATATATATATATATATATATATATATATATATATATATATATATATATATATATATATATATATATATATATATATATATATATATATATATATATATATATATATATATATATATATATATATATATATATATATATATATATATATATATATATATATATATATATATATATATATATATATATATATATATATATATATATATATATATATATATATATATATATATATATATATATATATATATATATATATATATATATATATATATATATATATATATATATATATATATATATATATATATATATATATATATATATATATATATATATATATATATGTGTACATATACATCTACCTTTTGTGGTATGCAGCTAAGAAATGGATATCGTCTCTGATGTGGCTTTTAATTTGTTTAGTATATGGTTGCAATATTATGTCTATTAGGTTACTGAGTTTGCTAGTTGGACAGGCTGGTCCTGCTACCATTAGTCTGAATGTAAGGTGAGTGGTGTTTGGAATGCTAATGTATTCAGGGACGATATCCATTTCCTTAGCTGCATACCACAAAACGTAGATCCGGGAACGCTTATGGCAACTTTTGACATTAGTAGCCTATACAGTAACATACCCCATGAACTAGGAAAGAAAGCAATCTAATTCTGGATTGAAAAACATCAAGAAATACTACATCCGAGATTCACTAAAGAGATCATTATCGATAGTATAGACCTAATTCTAAACAATAACACCTTTGATAAAATTATGGAAATTAAAGCATAATATTAAAAAAAAAAAAAAAAAAAACCTTTGCGGCAATCTCTCTTCACTTCTTTTTAATATACATACTCTTCTCTCGTTGGAACCACTACAACCTCTTTCTTTTATATAACTACAACGAAAGAATGCCGCGAACTGAAAAGAAAATCATGGAAGAACTTCTTGGGTTCTTCAAACTTACCAAACAAAAACAGGAACTACTGGAGGAAGAAATACAGAAATTGAACAAAAATGATACAAATCACATCACAACAAACCAAGGAACACAACTGCAACACAGAAACACTAATAGAACATTTCAAAACGCAGTTTGTATACCTGGAAAATATTAAAAAGTTACGCATGCGTACCGAATGAAAAAAACAGAATCTCCGAATCTGGAACAACATGCTCAATCAAAGAAAACTGGCATATTTCAATGCCATCAAAAATAAAGAAACAGCGAAAATATACAAAACCTACATAGAAATGGATGAAATATTTATTCCAAGGAAATTCCGCGAACAGATTAACCCACAAGACACGGAAAAACAAAAACAAATAAAAAAACACACTAAACCTAACAAAAATGCAGGCCCAAATTGAAATAGAAGAAGACAAAACAATAAACTTTACAAAGAAATACACAGAGATTGATAAGAAATTATTAACAAAAATCAAGGAATTATGTCCCAAAGAAACTCACCAGTTCCTGTCAGAATTATGGGAGTCAAAATGTAAAAAAGAGGAGGAAAAATCTCGGAATATCTTGGAAAGAAAGATAACCTGGTTAAAAGCATTACCAAGTAAAGAAAAATTGGAAAATGAGAAAAAAAAAAAAAAAACCAGTCCAAACTCACACAAAAAAAAAACCCCAATACCCAACACAAAACAATTATCAGCAAATACAGAGAAAACCACCCAACAGAGTCAAAAACCCGAATCCCTACCCACCCACACACAAACAGACCCACAAGGTAAGCACTCTAACACATTCTACCATACGCAAACACACCCACAAACAAACTCACAAAGTAATTATCCTAACACATTCTACTATACGCAAACACATCCAAAAGGTAGGAACCCCAATACATACCACCACCACACGCATTCACACCCACATAAAAAATACAATTATGAACATACACTGAACAGCGCAAAAACAAACCTGTACAGACCAACACACCATAACACAAACAGAAAAGATCAGAATACACACACATTCACAAAACCAACTCTTACAAATACCACCTAGCACAACAAACCAAACCTGACAACCATTACCTATATCCAGGAGTACAACCAGAATTTCCCCAAAAGTTCTACACACAATCCACATACAATCCATACAAAAACAACAAACCGAGAAACATCTGGAACAGGCCCCCTAACAAAAACAAACACACCTATATAGAGCCATCGAGAAACAACAACCCCAATTTTACCAAGGGAAATTCTCACTGGCTAGAAAACTCAAAATGTACAGGAAGACGGTATCTCTTAGAAAACCCGAGATATATTAAAAGAAACAATCATTATTTTTTAGAAGCTCCAGTCTGAATAAGAAAACCAGTTTAGATGACACAAAATCCAAAATAATAAACCTATCTACATATACACTTACAAATGACGAAATAAACCTACTGAAATTGGGCCTAAAATTCTGCCCTGCTCCTAAAAGCAATATAGCAGACTTACAAAAAGACCTTAGGGAATTTGAACGCAAATTGAGACTAAGAGAAATATTTAACAAAAGCGAAAGTATTACAGATGAGTCACTGGTAAAAAACAAATCCAATTTACTCTGAAACAAAAATAACAATACCAATGAGCTAAATATATTTTTGAAAAACTCTGGAACCTCGACCTACAGGAAAAATCCAAACCATTCGACAATCTCACATACAGACAAAGACTAGCCTTAGAGAACATTCGAAAAAATAATAACAATTATAAAAGAAGCAGATAAAGGCAGCGCTATAGTAATCATGGACAGAACATACTATAAAACAAAAATTCTCGAAACAATAGAGGATAGGAACAGCTACAAAGTAATTGACACTAACATAGACGAAAACATTATAACAAAAATTACAAAACTCTGCACAACACATAATAAAATATTAACAAAAAAAGAAGAAGGATTTCCTAATAAACTTTGTACCAAAAACAAGTAATTTCTACGAACTACCTAAAATTCACAAATCGAGTAAAATAAAAGCAGCTATACATACACAAAAATCTGAATACATTAGCATCCCAAACCGCAGTGTCCTTACCAATGGTAGCAAGACCAGCCTGTCCAACTAGCAAACTCAGTAACCTAATAGATATAATATTGCAACCAGATACTAAACAAATTAAAAGGCACATCAGAGACGATATCCATTTCCTTAGCTGCATACCACAAAACGTAGATCCGGGAACGCTTATGGCAACTTTTGACATTAGCAGCCTATACAGTAACATACCCCATGAACTAGGAAAAAAAGCGATCTCATTCTGGATTGAAAAACATCCAGAAATACTACATCCGAGATTCACTAAAGAGTTCATTATCGATAGTATAAACCTAATTCTAAGCAATAACACCTTTGGTAAAATTATGGAAAATAAAGCATAATATTTAAAAAAAAAAATCCAAATTACAACCAAAAACGTTTGTGGCATCTCTCTTCTCTTCTTTTTAGTATACATACTCTTCTCTCGTTGGAACCACTACAACCTCTTTCTTTTATATATATATATATATATATATATATATATATATATATATATATATATCCTAGGAGAAGGACAACTCTGAATTCAAAAGCTGCGGAGTGTCGCTTGGGGGCCTTTTGGCACGTAGAGGACCTTTTGGCACGTAGTGCACCAGGTTTCTGTATTCGGCCCTTCAAAAAGTGTGGTTGGTTCTGCACAAAACCTTAACCACTATAATCAAATCTGGCTGTCGATTCCTAGGAAGCTGCTTGATACTCATACGTCGAATACGATGGGGGACTCCACCATATATATATATATATATATATATATGAATATTATTAGGTTGGTGCAAAAATAATGACGTAATAATGTCGTTTTTTGACGTATTTTTAACGTCAAAAAACGACATTCTTAGGTCATTATTTTTGCACCAACCTAATAATATATTTTGTCTAATGATTATTTTTTCCTCAATTTTTTACCCAATACAAAGCCCAAGTGTGGGTTAATAAATGAGGTCGTTATAGGACATAAATTTGAAGGCAGAATATTAGGTGCAAATTAGGAGGCTATTTAAGATAGCGATTCATATTTTCATAATTTTCATTATCGTAACCCATTTTTTCACAGGGGGGGATCTTTTAAAGAAAACAATGAAAAATAACTTGCACATATTTCTATTAACGTCAATGTTATATTTCATGAGCGCATGATTTCGTGTACACGTGTTATTTTTATTTTTGTCCAATCAGTAAGTGAAAAGTATCAGTCATCATTAAGATCAAACCTCCTACATATAGATATTTATGTCATTTACGTGTATGTTTACTCAAATACGTTTGCCTGATGACTATGACGTTTGTAATAATGATCAACACTGTCGGATTAAATATTGCATTCCTTATTCTAGTATCTTTAATTCTTAAAAGAAACTATTTTCTTATTATCCGGTGTAAGCAATATAGCATGAACAAACGAAGTTATAAGGCGGTAAACAATTTTCATTATGAAGAGAAGAAAAAATTACGAAAGATAAAAATAAAACTAACACTGAGCATTCATCATGCTTAAAAAACTGTTTCTTGTCCTGGAATTGCGCCAACGTTCGTTCAATTCCGTAGACATCCTTCATTGTTTGAGGGCTTATCCAGGTTGTATTTCTGAAAAAAAAAATACTAACATAAGTCAACTTTGACACGTAGAGAAATATAACCACGTCTCTTATATAAAAAAAATGCATAGAAATTCTAACGTTATATCTTTGAAAATATTCACATGCTGCTCGACATTTTAAAAAAAAGTATTTAAAGAAATACTTTGAAGAAGTTTAATTTAAAATCCTTTTGTTGAGACTTCACATTTATCTTACATCCTTCCCTTTTTCAAAACTGCAATATCGTGATCTCTGTCAACTTTCTCATAACGTCTCCCTTAATTTTGTCCCCTGCCTGAAAACGTTCCTAACTCGAAATCATAGTGAAACATTTCTGGTACAATCAGTTATTGTGAGTGCAATTATTACACAATACAAATATTTAGCTATCCCACACGAGGATCGAATGTAGCACAAGGCCGAGTTTAATGTGGGTATCCCGAGCCCGTAGGCTCGGCCAAAAATATAGCCTTCGAACCCGCCTAGACGGGCTCGAGAACTGCCAACCACCCCGAACGAAACCTTGCCCTTCGGCAAAGCTTCGTCCGGGTTCCTCCCTGCTAATGCAGAGAGTTAGACAGACGGCGCTGACTGTAACTTAATACAGATGCAAAAAAATTATTACACAATACACATGCATTCTCATTAGAACTACCCTGGTCACATTCCACTTAATCTCGTCTACGGTCTAGAAATCTCTCTGGACATAAAATACAGACAGACAAATCTGTTACAGTCAGTCATTGAGTGTGCATGGGTTACACAGAACATTGTCATTCATTAGAATTTCAAATAAAAAAAGCAGAAAAACGAAACAATAAAAAAAAAAAAGTCACGAGAGATTTATTGTTTCGGTACAGGTAGTGAGTTCTCTCTGATTCGTCGCTAAGTTGACTCAAGGTTGATCGACCGGTTGTACAGATATTCAAAACAGCTGCCCATTTTTTAAGTTAGAACTTGTTTGAGAAGTTTAGATAAATCCTATATAAAGTTTTCAATTAAATATTAAACACTTCTCTACAAACATCAATATCCATTTTTTTTCCTTTCGGGAGAAAAAGAAATAACCAATTCTTTACTTTAAGGTGCCTAATACAAGGAAGGAACTTTAATAATTGTGGTTTAGAATTTTCTCCATGGGCAATAATTGATGGGATCTTAATAAAAGAGGAGTCAAAAAAATCATTTAAATTGTCAAAAATTAATTAAGAATTTAAGTAAAGAAACCTTTCTTTTCTTTTCTACATTTTACACTTTCTGACCATTTGAAGAGAAGGAGCATGATCCAAATAAACCTTTGACTGTTGCAGTTCCGACGATTACTCCTTTCCGTAATTATTAGTGTTTAATATTAGTATATTAGTATTATAATATTAATATAATATTTCGAAAATGCAACTTTTCATTCTCTATTTTTAAGGCACATAACAACAAAATCTGAGTGGCAAGTGAACGATGAAAAATTTCATTCTAGGACACCTCAAAAATCAGCACCAAAACAAACGCAAGTGTCAAGTTCCGGTCATTTTATATCAACAATAAAATCGGATTTTTGCAATAAACTGATACAAGGAGAGTACCTTAATATTTATGGTTCAGAATTTTCTCAATGGGTAATAAGTGATGAGATCTTAAATAAAATGGGAAATGGTAACAAACCTTTAAAGTGTCAAAAATTCAGAATTCAAGTTAAGAAACGTTTTTTTCTTCAGACTTGTCGGAATTAACTCCTCCTTCAGTTCGTTAACCCTTTCACCAGGGGTCGCTCTTCGCTGCTATAAATAGCCGCGGACCCTTTGCCTCTATCTTTTTTTCCCTCAGGCCTGTGCGCCAAACACCTTGAGGTAAATCTCTCCTTTTTCCTCAGCATCTCAGCTATCAACCTCGAAATGTAGGCGCTAACAAGGGATAGCGTGGAAACACGCTAAGCACAATACACACGCACGCACATACAGAATATTCACATACACTTCATCTTTTGTACTGTTTCCATGTATTGTAACTTGTTATTAATATATATTTGTATATACATATATTATCGGTCTTGTGTTTTGTTTGCTTTCTTTGCCTTCTTCTTTGGACTAAATCAGAGTCCAACCTTTTTATGTAGTTGGGCCCGGCGAGCAGGAGAATCTGAACCTTACTTGCGTTTCTTCTACGTCTGACTTCTATCAACAACATAACAGCCACGGCCCTCTACAGACTCAATACTTTCTAATAAGATAGTAGTATGCGACGAAGTATTGGCACAACCTAATTATTATGCAGAGAAGATCAAATAAATTAAATATCGACTCGCATAATTCACATAAAAAACCCAAAAGCACATTCATGCACCATCATCTTATCAGAATTTTCTACAAACGAGTTTGCTGTTAAATCTAAAAATAAATAAATAAATAAACTCAGTTTCAACTTAGTTAAAAAGATTGTTAAAACCGTTTATAATGTCTTCCTCATCGTGTTCACTTTTTTGTCTTACTAGTACACTGAAGTTAAAAAAAAAAAATTTTATCAAAGTATGAAACGTGGCAATTCTATTTTATAGGTTGCGGAGTCTATACTTTTGTATCAGCGCGTAATTATTTTTCTCTGTGTTCTGTCCCTTTAAGAACAAGGCCGACCATAGTTCTTCATAACTTCTTATCCTTTGTAGCTCTTAGCAATATTTGTCTTCTTTTACTATCCTTGCCATTCCCTGTCTGGTCACCATTTATACAAGATTGTTAGGTAGATTACTTGCTCTTTCCCTCTGTACATCAATATGCCCTCTGTGTATCAAATTCTTCAAATCCTCTTTCCTCATTATATATATCAAAGAAGTCTTAATTGTTGTTTCCTGTACAGGTAGTGAGAATTTAGATTCGTTTTTGATACACAAGAAACAAAGCATTATGTCTGAAATATTTGAGCGTTATTCGCTAGCTCAGTTTAATAAAAAAAAATAATAATAATGCAACTGAAATTACAAAGTAGACCTTTAAAGTCTTACTGTTTTCGTTAGCAATGAATATATATTTGAAAAATCTTTTTAAAATACTTACGTTTTACAGCACCGATCATAAAGTCTCTCCATTTTGGTTAAATTTCTATACTTTTCATGTTCTTCCTTAGTGAAAAAAAATGGAGAGTAAAGTACATCTGTAACAAAATCTTCTGAGCTCATTGGACTTAACTCTGACGTGTAGGATCTAAAAAAAAGACATGGAAAACAAATTACTTTTATGTTGTTAAATCAGACACAGTGTTAATTTTTCTTTGTACTTTCATATCATATAATAGTCAAATGAAAGAAAATAAACTGCATATTTTTAGATTGCTCATGTGAATCAGATATCACACACATATATATATAAGACATTTTTATGTTAATACATTCTTTTTTATAGATATAAATATTTAAGTAAATGCTCTGTTTCTAATAAACAGTATTAACAACATTTACCGACCTGAATGTCCGAGAAATTGTCATAGAAAATATGCATCCTCCGAAAGGAATCGAACCTGTATCCTATACGGAACTGTCATATAGCCTGACGTGCTTTTACCGATTTTGCCATCGAGGAGCGTTTCGATTAGCAAGGTCGATTTTACTGTTTTTAAACTACAATTTTGTATGATTTTTCGCACGTACATTCATATCTGCTGATCCGTATCCAAATGTAAACAAATGACGTCAAACATTATGAAATGGACAAAGTCCGACCAGTATTTTAAAACATTTTTATGTTTATACATTCTTTTTTATGGATACAAATATTTAAGTAAATGTTCTGTCCATTTCATAATTTGAGCACTATTTTGTAAAAATAAAAATATCAATAAGAACATCGGATTTTATATCTTACTGTTCTTTCTTTTTATTTATATACTAGCAGTAAAGACCGGCGTTGCTCGGGGTTTTATGTAATTAATTTGCTTTGGGGTTTGAATTATTGAACTTACGAAGATATCCGCAGTTGTTGAGGTCACTGATAGGCCTTGAATCTCACTGGTAGTAAAACCAATGAGATCAGGGGCAACTCGGTTGCAATAGATGGCTGCCTCTGTACTTTGAAAGTAGGCATCCAACCCTCTTCTCGAACCACCTGAGTTCCAAATGAAGTCATTTGAAAGGAGTTGTTGCGCCTAATTGTTTTAAGGAAGTGGTTGGAGTCGGGATGGGAGCCGGTTATTAGTCCTCCCAGCGGAATAGGGTGTTCATGCAGAGGTGTCAGTCGAACTTTGCCGGAGGAGCAGCACAGACCGGCATGCTCCCCGGCCTATTTGCGAGCGTTGCAGAATTGGCAAACCTAGGTCATGGGCCCTACATTGATGTCGTCACGCGTAGTTAAGTTAATGCCGGGGTCGTAATTGAAAGCCAAGAAAGACCAAAAAGAATGTCGCCGTCGAGGTGTATGCGGCGAGCTTGGGGAGATAAGCGCACAGTGGCCATGTTTGTAGCAGCCCTTGAAAGTCTGTTTGCCCTTGTCTGTGGGCCCTCGGAGTTTCTGGCAGCAGAAGTCGCTGCAGCGTTGCGGGCATTGTGAGTTACCCGCTGCAGCTCTGTCTCGGACTCCCTCGACCTATTTGTTGCAGCAGCGTCCCTGGACTGACGCGCGCACCTGCGGTCAAATGTTTCAGCTGCCCTCGACCTGGCAGTGGTGGCAGCATTCCTAGCATTTCGAACAGACCTACGTAGCGGTGTCTCAGCAGCCTTAGCGCTCGCTGTTGCAGCAGCATACCTGGATTGAAGGGCGCGCCTCCGGTGAAGTATCTCTATTGCCCTTGATTTCGCAGTGGCAGCAGCGTTTCTTACGTTACGAAGAAACCTTTGATGATGAGTTTCGGAAGCCCGAGATGCAGAGCCGGTTGCTGCAGCCTGTGCGTTCATTTTCGACTGTTGTGTATTCTTGAGCCTTGATCGGAACGAAGCCCTGTAGGCAGCTTTCCCAGCCAAGCAGGTGGCACACTCCTCTTGTGACTGCGAGGCCTGCGTGAGGGCGCTGCGTTGAGCGACCTGTGATAGTCGCATTGTAGTCTGCTTCTGGGACTCGCGGGCCTTTCTTGCCCCCATAGCGGACGCTCTTGCAGATCGAAGGCTAAGGCGTACCCTCATTTTTGGTGGCATGGGTAAAAGTAATGCTAGTACTAGGTTGATTAGGGTTGCTCAACTGCAGGAGTACAAAGTCTAACTTAGTATCGCAAAGCGTGAGCCGGAATCGGGAAGGCAGGTATTTAAGTAAAACAGCTGAATAAATTGTTTATGGTAGTTGGAAAAATGTAGTTAAACAGACAAACGGAAAACAAAAATGTAAGAAAATTGCGGTAGGAGAAATGATCAGTTAAAGGAGCCTATCGTATCAGCCGGATGGCGGCGTACCAGAAGCAGAAGTGAGACCTTCGTCCCACAGCTGTGCACAGCAGGTTCAAATGCGAAGTATTACTAGCCAATCGGTTGTGCCAATCAGCGAGCATCCTAGGGTCTCGAACACCAATCAGCGACCGCGTACTGACCTCAGCCAATGAGATACCGCTATGTGAAACATGGTCACGCGTGTGTGAATAACAATCAGCTGTAGAGTCTGTAGTGTAGACGTTTCAGTTGAACATACATTTGATTAGTGTATTCGCAAATTCCGATGAAGACATCATTGTACCGACTTCTCTTAGGTATTAATTGGTCACAAAAGAGCTCACAGGGCAAAAGTTTTTAATTCTCACGACTAAAGACGATAAGGTTAATCAAAATCCCAAGCCAGTTGCGAAGAACATCGCCAAATTCAGGTAAACTCGATTTGAATGGGAAGTCAAAAGTCAAATGGGATTTCATCGATTTTGTCCGATAATTGGAACCGATATTGACAACGAAAGTCAGTACCTCAATACTGTCGATAAATACTATGCTCAACGGGAATTTTGCTGAAAATTCTTCGCCATTTACGAAAAATATAGCCAAAAAATCAGCTAGACTGGACTTGAATCGGATGTCCCAAAGTGATCGATTGTATCGATTTTTTTCAGTAATTGATATCGATATTGAAAATAAATGTCAGCACCTCATAACTGTTGATAAAAGCAATGTCCAACGTCATTTTGGTGGAAATTCTTTGCGATTTGCGAAAAATATAGCCAAAAATCAGCTTGACTGGATTTGAATTGGAAGTCAAAAGTGGCATGATGTCATCGATTTTTTCCGATAATTGATACCGATATTGAAGAAAAAGGTCAGCAATTAATAACTGTTGATAAAACTGATATCAATTTTTAAAAACAAAGAACAGCACCTCAAAACTATAAGTAAGGACATTGCTCAACGTGAGTTTGGTGGATTTGTGAAAACTATCACTGAAAAACTGATGAATTTTTTTCGAATCAATATTCGACCCCCTATCGGTTTTATCGATTTTTTTCAAAAATCGGAGGAACGATCGAAAAATCCGAAGACGTCAAGTACGAATGTCGTAAATTTCCGATTTGTGTGTGAATTTCCATGCCAATAGGACGAACGGTTTGCTCAGGATGAGGTAACAAGTTGACAAACACAGAGACACACTAACAGAATGCCATTTATAGATAAAGATACATACGTTTATTTACATTATTTGCATTGTTCAGACTTTTGTGGTTATCTTTACTGCCATATTCGTTATAGCCGTTGTACGCTCCTGCCTTCTTCAGGTGATACACTTCAGGATTTCAAATTGAGCCATGTATATAGTCGACAGGGTTAGATTATTCTCATTCCACGTGTCATACCTTTTCTGGATATATCAGTTTCAGTTAACTCCCCTTAGTAACTCAACCTCTGTTATGGTCAGGTATTGAACTCTCAACTCTTTGAGTAAAGTCACTTTATGGAAGACTTCAACTTCCTAGTGGGAAACATGGCCCAGTGGATAAAAGCGTTGGTTGAAGTCATCCAAATTGAAACAAAAGCATTTCAAGTTTGTGTAAAATTTTCCTCTATTTTCACACCATTTTTCAACTGCACAAAATGCTATCTCTAAGTATGAAACAGCGCTTCATGGAAAACTTCGCATTTATCTGATGTGGAACTTTTGTTATATCGCTTATTCTTTCAATAAATGTTATCTTGTGATCAGTTTTGAAAAATTGTTACTTTAACAGATAAAAAATATATACATTCTAAAATTAAAATTTTAGGATGCTTACAGATTATAAAAGATGAAAGCTATTTAAAAACTTATTTAGAAGAAATAAAACTATTCCAGGTTTGTAGGAGGGTAGATTAAAGAGTTCATATCCTGACTATGAAACTGTCATACCTGACGTACCTATTCTATTATTAATAGACTCTCCCACACATAATAAGTAGTAGTAGTAGTGGTCGCCAGTTCGGCTCAGTGGTGTTGAGCGAGTCAGATGATATCGGACATTGAAGTACCAACCATCACAACTGAATTGCTGCGTCATTAACTCTTATTTCCAAGTTCCTAACGTTTTGTACGTCGAACCTAATTTAGGACGAGTTATTGAAATACAAGCCTCCACTGTGAAAACTACTCTACAACAGAAACAGAGCTGTGAAATCATGCATGTATTAATTTCAGCTCCTCTTATTAATAACTGTTAATAAACTGATATCTGCTTGTTCAAAGTAACTTGGCGATCATGACTCTTCACATCTTTCTATCCTTTGTATCTCTTGATATTTTTTCTTTTACTTATCTCGCCTAAACTTTGTTCTACCATCCATTTACTTAAGTTTGCTAGTTAGGTTATGCATTGTTTTCCTCTGTTTCACTTGCCTTCAGTTTCGCCAGTTTCCAAGTAAACTTTCTTCATTAATTGTCCTAGAAATATCAACTGTTTCTTCTTGATATTAAGCATAAGTGTCCTTTTCTTTTTCATTTTCTTTAATATTTTGGTATTGCTCATATGTTCAGGACATTGAATTCTCATCATCCTTCTGTAGTAGCACATTTCTTTTGCTTCAAGTCCCGTTTTCTTCTATGGGGATATATTATCTGCTTTCAATGCCATATAGGAGAATTGGTATTACATAACAGTTCAGAACACTTTTCTTTGTTTCTAACAATTTTTTCCTGTTTCTCAATACCCTGCTGAGCTTTTGGTAGACATCTTCCGCTATCCGCAGTGCCTTCGTATTTAAGGAACAGACTTTCCGTCGTCTGATAAATCACTTCCGATATATTTAGTCTTTAAAGTGTGGATTGATATTACATAGCTATTCAATATGCTTTTGTTTGTATTTAACGAAATTTTCTTGAAACCTTCTTTTGGAAGACATCCATTTTATTCCAATGCACCTTCGTGTTTCTGATTTTCCCTCGTCTGCTATAATATGTCCCTTGTAGTTAACATTCTGTACACGCTTGATTCTGACGATTTCAATTCATAGCTTGCATCTTGGCCTGTCGCTTTTGCTAAAGATCACACATCCAGTTTTCTTAAAATAGACTGTTAGTCCTTTCTCCTGCTTTCCTTCACGTATTTTTTCAAAGATTTCCTGTTGCTTTCTTTTTGCTATCAACGCATTATAAACTACATTTAAGCAATGTTTAAAAATTAGCCAATATTCCATTCTTTTGCAGTTACACTTAAAATGATTGATGATAAATAACTATAATAAAACCGTTATCTAAAAATACTGGCTGAAATGCACGACAAAAAAACTCATTTCCTGGCGATAAATCGATGTTAAAGCAGCTCAACACTTACCGAGTGAGTAATACTATTTGCAGTATTATTATCGTCGACAGTAGCACCAAAACCTGAAATGATAAAATGGTAGAAAACATTTCTGAAGATATTTTTGAACATTTCGGAAGTCATTTAGTTGTTGGGATTCCTATATTAACTGTTTTAAGAAATTCCTGAAATAACAAAAGATAAACAGATAATATCAAGGAATGGTAGCGAATACAGGATGTTAACCAAACATTTGAAATCAATGAAAGTATTTTGCGGGTGAATATGGCATTAACATTTTTGTTGAAGATAACAATTTTTCTAACGACAATCCGTACTATTTAACCCAGTTTTGAGGGGAGAAGATTAATTTATACATTTCTCAGAGTTATTGGGCATAAGGAAATGTGACACATGCAACTGGAACATTATCTCGGTTCTACAATTTCTCATTTCCATCCGCTATTCATTATCTCACCCACACAATCAGAAAAATGTTGTAATGAAAACTTAATACGAAGTTCCCAAATAAAAATAATGCTTTTTTTATTTGTCGAAATATCTCAGATGAAGAATTATTATTATATTCTTTGCTGTTCAGACCAGCTAGCCAATGTTGTTTGTTATATCCGTAAAGTTAACACGTTATTCTGGAAATTGATCTGAGCTCGCCAATATCCGTTTAACTACCTTCACTTCCACATTTTCCTTAAATATTAAAACAAAAAGAAAAAATGTATTTCGGAGCAACCTGGTTGACCTCCACATATTTCAATATTGCAGCCCCTCCCATATATATATATATATATATATATATATATATATATATATATATATATATATATATAGTTTATGAAAAACTAGGTAATCCGTATGGGTAAACCCAAGGAAGATAAAATCCAGAGAGCTCAATGTAAATCCAAAGCAAATAATTTAAATAAATAAAAACAGATAATTTATTACATGGAACCTTAAAGTGGTCTGTTTTTATTTAATATACATATATATATATATATATATATATATATATATATAGATATATATATATATATACATACATACATAGGTGCATACACATACATGTATATTTTTTGAATAAAAAATTCCAAGAGGATAGAATCCAGGTAGAACTCAATGTCCAGGACAGAGTAAGGATATGATAAAAAAGTTTAAACACTAATATTCCATGGTCATAATTTATTCCATTTGAATCGTAAATACGATCCAATTCATCAGACCTACGAAGGTCTGATGAATTGAATCATTACAAATCTAAAAGTCTGATGAATTGGATCGTATTTACGATTCCAATGTAATAAATTATGACCATGGAATATAATATTTAAACCTTTAATATATATATATATATATATATATATATATATATATAATTTTTAAAACCTTTCACCCCCAAACAAGGAAGGAGTGACACTAGAGCGTAGGGGTTTACGGAGAATGCAAGTGAGAGAAAAGAGTGGATGTAGACGGGATTGAGGAAGAAAAAAAAAAAAAAAAAGGACAGGGATTAAGGCAACAGAATATGGCGACTAACGTTGCATTTAAATTTTTTAAGATTGTAGTTATCAGGAAAGCAAGTAAGAGGAAGGGAGTTAATAACTAAAGTTCACCCATTCATTGCAGAGTGAAGTGTTTCTGATGAACATAAAAGGGGAAATAGAAAGTGAAAAGAATGATAAGGATATGGCGGATCGATAAAGATTTAATCTAGATTTGTAGAGATTAAGATTGAAAGGTGACCGGAGAGAATAAGATTGAAAGTGACCGGAGAGAATAAGATTGAAAGTGACCGGAGAGATTAAGATTGAAAGTGATTGAGGAGGGAGCTAGAGTTCTCAGGAAGAGGTTTTCGTAGTGGGACATTCTTTTTGCCATATCCCTCCCCCCACTTCATGACAAGAAATACTGGACAATTTCATTATAGGTGAAAAGACTCGACGGATTTGTTTATTTTTTTTTTACAGCTTATCAACTTTTTGCGGGTTATTTAAAGTAGAAACATATTTTGGGCTGTAAGAATCTTTTTTCTTTTCCGAGCGAATATTGCCTGAACAATTTTCTTGAGAACCACAATGTTTTTTTTTTCTAACTACAAGCCATACTATATAACCCAGTTTTAAGGGTAGGAGAATGATTTATATTTTTCCCAAAGTTAATGCGCTTAAGGAACATGGCTGGAACATGATCTCGGTTCTTTTACTTCTCATTCCCATCCGCTATCCATTACCCCAGCCGCACATCCAGAAAAAGCCTGGAAACGACAGAGATGTCGCTCTACATACAGATGCTGAGAGTATTATGGAATAGAAAACATGGGCAATGAGGAATTTCTGAAGAAAATAATAACAAGAAAGACACTCACGTTTAGAATGCGATAACGGAAATTTCTAGAACACATTATGAGGAAGGACGGCTTCGAAAATTTAATACTCTCAGGACTTTTTGAGGGAAGGAGGAGTAGAGAAAAATAGCGAGTAACATACCTAAGGTGTTCGTGTGAATGGATGGCAGAGCATAGACAAGGAATCGTAAAAATCAAATAGTGTTCTGCGTTACAAAAATATAAGATGTTGCGGAGAGCCATGGTCGCCCACGTCCTAATGTACCATATACTTGATGATGATTAGTTTAGCCTTGTATTTACATTGCTAATATATAACTAATAACAACTATCTCTTTCAATCGCTGAAGGATTTTTCTTATATGTGCCGTGTTTTTTTTACAGGACGTCGACGATCTTGAACTTGCTATCATTTGTAGATCTAAGTAAGCTTTTTGCTACTTTTCATAATATCTATTATACAAACTATATATACAAGCTGATTAGCTAGGTGTTCTGGGTATGACGATAAACTACATCCAGTTATGGGCAAATAGTACCCCCCCACCCCCAAACGAAACACTCTGAAAGTATAAAAATTCTGCTTACCACGGAGTTCTTGACAAGATCCAGAGACGGATATGTAATCTAATTGGCCCTGATCTAGCGTTTCGTCTGCAGTCACTCTCTCACAGACGCGCCGTCGCCTCCCTCTGTCTTTTCTACAAATACTTCCATGGTAATTGCTCTGATGAGCTGATTTCACTGGTTCCTAGACTCCATGAATTCAAGCGCCCTACGAGGCTGGCATCCCGCTCCCACCCTTACACCGTAGAAACTTTCAAATGTAGCCGTCTCTTCTACTCCAATAGCTTCATACCTCGCACCTCTCGCCAGTGGAACACCCTCCCCAATTACTGTTTCCCTGAGAGCAATAATTTCCAACTATTCAAATGTAATGTCAATCGACATCACCAGTTATCTTGATCTATCCACTATCCTTCTCCTCACCCTTTCTTCTATCACTCCTATCTGCTCTCGCTCCAAATCTTCCGCAACCCCCTGCATCCTTGTGGCTTCACGCCTTGCTTGGGGCGTAATGCTTAAAAAAAAAAAAATAAATAAATAAAAATACCAGCAATAGTTTGTATATAAAAATGACCATTGATACATTTTATCTGTAGTTGAATGCATACGATTGCATTCAAAATATTTGCATTCAAATATTTAGTTGAAGCCATAAAATTGTGTCCAAATTATTTAGACTTCGGTATTATTAACCCAGAGAATTTGATATACTGGTAAACAATATCAATCAATCAACCAACCAATCAACATAAAACAACTCTTTCATAGCATTAATCCATATAATATCCTACAATTTCTTAAACTGTATTCCAAAATATATCTTCAACTAAACTACAACATCAAACACACATCACCGCCTATAGTAATTATGTCGACACAAACATGCACATTGTGTATCATCTACCATGTATTCAACTGTGAAAGCAGAATAACATATATTTTTCTTACTTCAAAGCACCCAAGAAAATTAATTTTCGGCATTAAATGGTCCATAAGGATTTGATGTGCTGTTAAACAAACAAATCAATCAATCGTTAGATACGTTATTCGTTGCTTTCCTCTGTTCCTCTTGCTTACAATGTGTCCTGTCAGCGGCAAATTCTCTCAGCCCTCTTTTCTTATTAATTTCTACTCACTCTTTCTGATTCAAAATATGTGTTCTTTGTGACTTCATTTTCTCCAAAACATCGTTGTTGCTCACATGTTCAATCCTTGCTATTCCCAACATCCTTCTGTAGAACTAGATTTCTGTTGCCTCAAGTCTTTCCTTCATCTGTGAAGTTATTTTTCCAATATTCGCTGCCATATATGAGAATCAATATTACGTAAAAGTTCAGTACGGTTTTTGTTTCTAACAATATTTTCCTGTTTCTTAATACTTTGCTTAGATTTTAGAAGGCAACTTTCGCTATCCCAATTCACCTTCGGATTTGGGTTTTGCATTTTTCGTCCTCTGTTAAAAAACTTCCGAGATATTAAAATTTTTGAACCTGCTCGATTCTGAAATCTCTAATTTGGAGTTCGCATCTTGGGATGTTCCTTTAGTTGACAACCTTACATTTTCTCTTCTTACAATTGATGTCCTTTCTTGCTTTATTTACTACTTTCTGCAGGATTTTCTGTAGTTTAATTTCTGTGTTTACTACCAACCAAAACTGTCATCTATATATCTTATGCTGTTAAGATTGTGATCGCCAATAATGAATTCCTGTAGGAATTATAATTCTCTCACTTATACTGTATGAATAAATCTGGTTAGAAGACATATCATTGTCTTACACTCAAATGCGGATAAAAATGTTGGTATCTACTTACAGTTCCGTATTTACACAGAGTTATTTTAAAATCGCCCATTATCTGAAAGAAGAAAATAAAAAAAATGAATTAAGTATTGCAGAAGATATATTTGAAGAATATTATGAAATGTTAAAAGAAAATTGAAGTATCGATAAGCTGAAACATCACCAAGAGATGTTATAATTACTAATTAAGGCATTAACAAGAAAATCAGTGGAAATCTTTGTTTGATAAATATTACTTGATGCTATGTAATATCAATCATCAAATATGCTAGTGAATGCTGGACATGTTTTTGACAGGTGAAGGATTCTTGAAGCAAGAGATATTCGGTTCTACAGAAGTATATTGATAATCTCTTGGACGGAACATGACAAGATACCAGAAAAAAAAAGAGAACTTAAACGACACTTGTACATCGAATCAAAAAGTGACAGTCGTAACATCTGGGAAACAAAATAAAGAAAGAAGGCTTGGAAAGTTTAACAGTCACAAGATGTACTAAATTTAAGACGAATATAGGGAAATACAGACTCCCTTGTTGATATTTTCCTAAACATAATTTTAAACACTTCAAGTTAAAAGTCAATTGGTATCTATCCCCCTTATCCTTAAAATATTCCCTTTATACCACCAACTCTTACGTTCATATAATATACCCTCTTCATCGTAACTCTCTACTTTGAAAGGTTCTCGTGTTTTGTATTGGATGTATAATAAATATAAAGAAAACTAGAATAAATATAAGAAAGCAGTACTTGAGAATAATTGTTGGATATAAAATGAAGATATTTTAACACAGCAAAATTGACCTCTTATACAGTAACAGGTAATGGATTTTGACACGTTCTTATTGTCATTTGAAAAGGATGACGCAGGGTGAGAAAGAACCGATCTAATCTCCAATACATTTCAGAAACATTGAAATACGGAAATATATCTTAAATTACAGCGTTAACATTATCGCAAGAGTATGAAGATTATATTTTAAATGAATGTGAAACTCTATAAATGGGAATAAAAAAAGGTGTCTTTCTTTGGTAACTATTAGGTTTCGATTGCATTTGCCAAGCAGAAAAAGAAATGTCAAAGAAGCTTTCCCACCAAGCAGTCAAAGTAATACTGGACAATATGTATAACCACATCATTTGTGGTTGAAACGGGCACCGTTTAATTAACTGACATTGTTCGGATAAATGCCATGAAGGAGTGTTCTATGGTGTTATGACATATTAAAATTGTATTTCCTGAGACACACACACCTGTGCGCGCGCGCACACACACACACACTATTAGTGAAACTGAACATAGTTCTCGTTCATCATACAAAGGCTGGGGTATTTGTTTTCATTAGGCTTATCATCAGAACGTCTATATTAACCAGTCTGTCGAACACACGCACACAAACAAAACAGGATGCGTAAAATTTCTCGACACAAAAGGAACCCTTTTACCTTTTCTACACTTAATTAGTATCGGATGAACTTTACAGAAGAGTGAAAAAATGAAAGAATGAAATATATATATATATATATATATATATATATATATATATATATATATATATATATATATATGTGTGTGTGTGTGTGTGTGTATATATATATATATATATATGTAGTGTATATATATATATATACATATATATATATATATATATATATATATATATATATATATATATATATATGATATGATATGATATATGATAGTTGGCCAGTCGTATTCGAGGATACCAAAACAGCTAGTTAATCCCTGTTGCAGACGCACACTCAAGCAGATTTGTGTTTGCTCAACACCCACAGAGCCCCCACTCTCCGTCCTTTATACTGCAACTATGCTGAGCAGACCTTAGTTACAGTTTATGGGAGATAGCGTGTTACCTAGCGTGATCAACCGTTTGAACAAGGCTAGCACACCCAAGCCATCGGCCACGATGGCTTTTGGCTTTAATCATAGCACAGTTATCGAGGGCCCTTAAGAGTTCCTTCAATCCAATTTTATTCACAAGGCTTAGGTCGGCCCCGTGGTATGGTTTTCAGTCACTTTCCAAAGGTGCTGCACGTTGGGATCGACCTCGATCCATTCCGATAACATCAGAAGTCTCCGTCCTGACAAATCGAATATTGTGAATTTGAACCCGGGTCTCATGGTCAGGAAGCGATATATATATATATATATATATATATATATATATATATATATATATATATATATATATATATATATGCATGTTCATTAAAAACGACAGACAATTATTACGGTTAAGCTTTTTAATTAATTTTTTCTTTGTGTTCGAACAAGAGCTTTCTTTTCTGGACAAAGAGTGTGTAAAAACTGTCTAAATATTCCGAGCGTTATCGGCTGAACCTTTAGCCATTATCAAGGATAATTCAATTTTTCAGCTTAATTGAGTGTGTGCGTTATGCGTATGTGTGTGGTAGCGAATTATATATATATATATATATATATATATATATATATATATATATATATATATATATATACAGTAGCGTCAAAACTAAGGGACAAAATTTTCAAACCTAATATTTGTTAGAAATAACAACTGTGAAAAGCTGAAATTTTGACAACTGATAGTCGTTATCATCCATAATAACATACTAAAATTTGAATCATTTGCAAAGGATAGAAAAAAGAATTATAACAATTATTTATTTATTTTCAAAATAGGATCGTCCAAAAGTAAGGGACACAATTGAGAAAAACAATGTAAACAGTATGCTATATTCAAATTTTTGATTTCCTCTAAAGAATAAGTCTTACTTAGTCATTTGTAAACGTTGCATCATGGCACCATGGCGAAACGCCAAAAAACTTGATTACTCTGTGAGACAAGCTATTGTGAAGTTACACAAGGAAAAGCACACCATTAGAGAGATTTCAGAGAAAGTGAAACGTTCCAAGAGTGTTGTAGGCAGGGTTGTTAAATCCTACAATGATACTGGCAAAATAGTTAGTGCTTTTAAAACCGGCAGACCCCGCAAAACTTCGGCAAGAGAAGAACGAATAATGCAGCGTATGTCATTAAAGGACCGTTTTAAGTCTTGCACAGAAATTAAAAGGGTTATGAATAGTACCTTATGTGTTAATGTGTCAAGACAGACTGTTTGTAGACGACTGCAAGAAATAGGGCTGTTTAATCGAACCCCAGGGAAGAAACCACTTGTTAGTTCGAAGAATAAGAAGAGATTAGAGTTTGCAAACAGGTATGTAATTTGGACATGAAAATTGGGCAAAAGTATTTTTCAGTGATGAAAGCAAGTTTAATTTATTTGGAAATGATGGAAAAAACAATGTAAAGAGACGTATTGGTGAAAGATTAAGTGCAAAGTGTACTAAGAAAACTGTCAAGTTTGGGGGCGGAAGCGTCATGGTATTTGGAATGTTTTCTAGCCAAGGTACAACGCCTCTTGTCCGGTTACAAACTCGTGTAAACGCGCAGATCTATAAAAACATTGTTCAAGATCATGTTGTATCAATCATACAGAATTCAGGTTTCGATAGGCTACCTTTATGCAAGATAATGTCCCATGTCACAAGGCAAAGGTGGTAATGAGTTACCTTAGCGAGCAAGATTTGGAAATTATGGATTGGCCACCGCAAAGTCCTGACTTAAATCAATAGAAAATCTTTGGAAGACCTTAGGAGTGAAAGTTATGGAAAGAAATCCCACTAACACGGAGGATTTGTGCGTGAAGCTTCAAGAAGAATGGTCTAAAATTAGTATCGAGGATTGTCAAGAACTGATTCGTTCTTGTAGTCGAAGATGGGCAGCTGTCATTGAGAGCTAGGGCTCATTTAGTAAATATTGATTGTACATGTATTTTTATTGTTTTTTGCCGTTTACATTGTTTTTCTCAATTTTGTCCCTTACTTTGGACGTTCCAAATTTGAAAATAAATAAATAATTGTTATAATTCTTTTTCTATCCTTTGCAAATGATTCAAATTTTAGTATGTTATTATGGATGATAACGACTACCAGTTGTCAAAAATTTCAGCTTTTCACAGTTGTTATTTCTAACAAATATTAGGTTTTAAAATTTTGGACGCCCTATATATATATATATATATATATATATATATATATATATATATATATATATATATATTAAGAAATGGACAAAGTCCGACAATTTATTTATTAAAGACATTTTATGTTTAACGTTCTTTTTTATAGATACAAGTATTTAAAATACTGTTTTATTATAAACAGAGCATTTACTTAAATACTTGTATCTATAAAAGAACGTGCTATATATATATATATATATATATATATATATATATATATATAATTATATTTAAAAATATGATTCCATCGCTACATAAGAGTTCTTATGTTTCAAAAACTGGAGGTAAAAACTTCAATTTAATTATAAAAATTAAATTGAATTAAAGTACAAATCTCTGTTTCATATTATAGCGAAATCCTTGGGAATAACTAATCTTGAAATTTACGGAGCTTTATAAGCATATACATTCGTAATATTTACTATGGAAACGGCTGAAGCAATTATTTCAATATTGAAATAATTATAGTTTAGGCTCTACTTATGTATTGAGCCTCGTTTTTTAAAAATACAAACAAAAATACTAAAGAACTTCGGATTATTGACCTAACGTGTTTCTTTTCCTATTTTCTATATATTTGCACACACACACACACACACATATATATATATATATATATATATATATATATATATATATATATATATAAGAAAATACACAAATACAAACACCACTACAACCCATTTCCAAAACTCAGGTTAATTGGCAAAAGTCAGAACTTTGGGATGGGAAATGTGTTCTTTGTCGTGTCGAAAGATTTTACCCATCTTCAAATGTTTCTCACGGATTCCTAAATATACAGTGTAGAAAAGTGTTTGTTCACCTTTTTCTTTCTTGTAGCCCATTTTTGGTGTCAAATCTATTTCCTGCCCACATAAGTACAAATAGTAATTCCATGTAACGGGAAAAACATTTTATTTACAAAAAGCAAAATTTAGTTGAAAATATAAATACTGACTAAGGTCTACATTATTCTTGGTGTCTCGGGGCCTATGTAAAATATTTCTCAGGACTACTTTTGGGCCAAAGGATCCATGTTGAGAATCCCTGATGTAGAAAGGTCTTATTTTTGACACGTTTGGATCATCAAACAGCGCCAACAACGAACAAAATAAATAAATAAAATCCCGCGTTCATATGATTAACGTAAAATCAATTCTATCTCACAAATGTAGATTTGGTTGAGAGACAAGCCATCTTTTTTCTGGGGATGCTAGTTGATCAGCGTAGCATATCAAAATAACACAAACACACACACAGACAGACACAGACACATATTTCAATGGGATTTAGCCATAATTCACGAATGTCTCGATATATTTTCACACATGTGTTCATATATTTCAGAAAGAAAACAGCAACTAATTATACCTGACCTGTAATCAGGGCTATATGTGATTTCGAGCGGATAACTCCGAACAATGTCGAATGAAGTTATTTCTAGGAAATATCTTTCAAACGACTGTGTTCAGGTAAAAAAAGCATAGCGTTCACTGATAAACGTGACAGGATGTGATTTAAATAGAAACACGTGTTTGTCATTTTTTTTTTTTTTTTGCAGTTCAGCGTCGTATGTTGAATTTAATTTTAATCACGTTTTAAATTAACCAATTGTCAATCATAGATTGTGATTTTTTTTTACAGTTAGGTTCACCATGCACACGGCCCGGGGGCCACTCGAAGTAGAAGATTACGATAAGGGGTAATTTATATGGATAAAGAGGGGAAGATAACTGTTGACTCTAGACTTGAACAGGTTAAGATTTTAGTGATCGGGAAACATCTCCCAGGAAACCTGTAGATCGGCAGTGGTTCGTGGGAAGAAGCTGTTTGAGTGGAACTTCTCGTCGATGAAATACCGAGGTAATGTGGACAGTTTCCTGTAATCTATCACAATTTGTGATAGAACAAATTTTGAGTGAAAAATGCAATATATTTTGAATCTTTATCTTTCGATAGGAATTAACTTTACAAGTTGATGTGGAAAACCTCGATAGCTGAGTGAAGTATTTTCGATTTTATTAGCATACTAGAATAAGCCTCGGGGGTTTATATTTTCTCGTAGGCTTTTGAAGAAACAAAAAGCATAAGAAAGTTACAGCCACTATCTTGAATCGAAGAATTTAACATTACGAAGTTCATCGTTATAAATTTGGTTATGAAAAATCATCTTGATAAAGTAAAGTTCAAATTTCCAGAAAATATTTTATAAATAAAAATTGCATCAAAACAAGGCATATAAAAGAAGCAGATGAAAAAAGGTTTAATGTCAAAGAAATATTTTTATCACCAATTTGGATTGTCAGATAAAAGATGACATTAAACCAAATAATACATGACAAAAAATCTATAAGTCAACTGATTGTGGATGAAATAAGGTCAGTTGTTACAAGAATCTTTCTCTACAGAGAACCGAGTAATTTGGTGAAGATCGGATACACTATGGTTACAAATAGTCCAGCGATATTAGTTTAATAATCTTAATTATTTATTAAAAAATTAGGATAGTCTGGTACAAGGCTACATTAACTTGCGAATTCCATTTTACCTCAGTGTCAATTTTTTTTCTTGATTTTTTTTAATTTAAGAACGATTCTAGCGATTTAACGGTGGTAAAAGAGTGCTAGACTGTAATGTAATATCAGTCCTCCTATATGGGGATTTACTAAGCACAAAAAATATATAGAGCTCTCAGTAATGATCGAACTCATATAATGAGTAATCGATCTAGCGAGGTAAGCTTGCTAACCATTACACCACGGCGAAGCGCTAAAACAGTGATTGTCTAAGTATGGATTAGATGTGTCAAAAATAAAAAGACAAACATTGCGACGAGCTACAAAATGATTGGGATTTGTGGAGAACCATGATCGCCCACGTCCTGAAGAGACACGGGACATAAAAGAAGTATGCAAAACCGATCTGATGTTCATGAGATCGATAAAAAAATAGCATACCATGAATAAAAAAGGCCTTAAATTTGATTAAAATAATTTTTTATCGTATAAATGTTAATGTTATTATCAAGAGGAATGATCAAAGTATTTTTTGAATATTTTTTAAATTTTTTAAATAATTTCTAGCATGTTGCAAGATTTTCAAAATTAATGTGTGTCATAAGAAAAAAAATGCACAAAAAATTCGCTATGTTATTTTTACGGAGACTTCCGGTGATGACGAGAAACAAGTTTTTCAGTCGAAAGTTAGAATGTTGTAATAAAGACAAATTTTTTTTTTAAATAATTAAATATTACTTTGTTCTTTACTCTTAATAGTAACATAAACATTTTGGCGATAAAATTTTGTTTTCGTCAAGTTTGACGTCTTTTTCATCAGACTGCGCTTTTTTTAGCGATCTCATGGACTACACTAAATTTAAGGATGAAGAAAAATTAGTAAAAAATTACAAGTTTACAGGATTTAAACATTTTTTAAAAATATTTCCAGTTAATAAGAAAAAGTAATGTAATATGAAATGAAAAGAAAAATAATTAAAAAAACAAGACATTCCTATAACTTACGAAGAACGTCACTTTTTCCTCAAACGAAATCTGTGTCACTAAATATTGAGGTCAATCCTTTAAGTATTCAGAATCCGAAGAAACAGACTCACTGCCAGCAGTGCAGACGGGACTTAATTGATGCTTTCTGAAATGACGAGTCTTATACAAATAAATAAAAAAAAAAGCAAAAAAAAGAAAGAAAATAAATGTAGGCTAAAGAAAGTTTTTCATTGGATGCGTTTATCACATGACTCAAAGAAATGTCAACTGTTCACGCACATAAAGGAAAGCAGTTATAACAATGTAATAAACATAGCTTATATGTTGCATAAGGCCGAAAATGTGAAACACTCAGCGATGAATTAAACTCACGACTCTGCCATAGTTGATCGAGATAAACTTATCAACTATCCCAACACGCCTAAATTATATATATATATATATATATATATATATATATATATATATATATATTTTTGAACATAAATTTGATATCACAGAATTTACATTTGGTTTTAAAAATAACGGAACGCATTCTTTTTCTTTAAACGAAAACTTTTCCTTCCTTTTGGGAAAAAACGCACACAAACATACAAAAAATAATCCTAAACTTTAAAACTGAAAAATACATCAGGGTAAATAAAGAGCCACGACTAAAATAAATGTATTACTAAAACTATAAATCGATGTAAATAAATAAATAAATAAAATTAGGGTCTCTTTTTTTTCAAATACGGAGCATCCACTATATAACTTTGAAGTACTAATATATATATATATATATATATATATATATATATATATATATATATATATATATATATATATAATATATATATATATATATTGTTTTAAAAATGACGGAGCACATTTTTTTTCGTCTAACCAGTCTTCAGAATGATTCGTTGTAAAAAAAAATCATGATTAATTTATCCTTATTTTTTTATTTTGTGTGATCGGGGTTATCTTTTTTCAATGATTCTTTCTGAAAAAGTGTTGCTCAAAAACTACCTTTTAACGAAAAAATCCGTTCCTACATTTTAAACACACACACACACACACACACACACACATATATATATAAATATAAAGGGTATTCAAAGAACTTGAACTAATTTTAAATGTGAATTAAGTTTAAACTTCTAAAGACATTTTTCTTTTTCTTTCAGATTTAACAACTTAAGTCTTTGGCAATTTCAATAATGCAAAGATTAACAATCAAACAACGTGTTAAAGCTATCGAAGCTTATTACGAAAATTGGCGTTCAAACAAAAATGTAACGTTTTTATGGAGAGGTTCAATTCCTGCGCACAATGACGAATAGAGGTGTGGTGTCTGGATTTTCAACCAAATTCTCGTGCATTGCAGCAATGTTTTCAGCTGAACGGCGTAAACGATCACGCAATGGTGTTTTTACATCTACCACCGACCCAGTTTGTTTGAATTTACGAACAATTTTTCCAATTGCACTCTTGAAACTTCTGTAACACGTTGTTTGATTGTTAATCTTTCCATGGTTGAAATTGCCCAAAGACTTAAGTTGTTAAATCTGAAAGAAAAAAAAAAAATCATTAGACGCAAAAACTTAATTCACATTTAAAATCAGTCCAATTTAGTGGAACACCTTTTATATATATATATATATATATATATATATATATATATATATATATATATATATATTTGTGTGTGTGTGTGTGTGTGTGTTTTGAACAATAACAATATTAAAAAATTAATATATTTTTATATGGAATTTCGAAACGAACCCTTTATTTATTACACGGAGGTAGATTGTTCTAATTCCACGTGCCATACCTTTGGATATCTCAGTTTCAGTTAATTCCGCTTGATAACTCAACACTTCAAGTTTTTTATTTCCTCTACTGTGGCCAGTTATTGAACTCACAACTCTTTGGGTGAAGTAAATCTTTAATCAGTTAACCAACAGTTTTTCTGCTGCGTCGTGAATACATCAATAAAATGGGGACACCATTCCGAACATTGTAAATAGTGTAAATGGACAAACAAATCTAGCTGAGTCTTCTACGAATCTATATTTAGATTCTGAAGCAATAAGCCCTACTAAAGAAAAATTTACAAAAGAAAACCATATCAACCCAAACATGTATACCCACATTTGGAGAAATATTAGGATTATATTATATATTTAGGATTATATTATCAATTTATTATATATGTAGGATTATATTATCTATTTATTATATATTTAGGATTATATTATCTATATGCTGTATAAATTCGATTATTCTCAAGTAATTTATCGATTCAATCTATTTTATAAAGTTCTCCTCTTGAATGGCTACTCTTCTAGGTCTTTTGCATTAATGCAGGTATTTCCGAGGCATTTATACATTGACCGACCGAGTGGTTAGAATGTTCGCATTCTGGCCATGAGACACGGGTTCGACTCTCAACATGGTCGATTAGTCAGGAAGGTGACTTCCTGATATTAAAAGACTGAAGGAGTCGATCCCACACCTTTGGAAAGTTCCTGAAAACCATACCACGAGTTGAACCAAGCCTTGTGAGTGAAATTCTATAGACGGAACCCTTGGGCCCGTCGATACCACGAAGTTACAAGTCATCGTGGCCGAGTGCTGGAGCGTGCTGGCCTTTTTCAAATTGTTGATCACGCTAGATAATACGTTCTTTCCCAGAACTGTAACTAAGGTCTGCTCAACATAGTTGTATAAAGACAGGTTGGCTCTGTGGGTGTTGAATAAACATAAATGCACCTGAGCAAGCGTCTGCAACAGTAGAACGCGTATCCTCGAATACGAGTGGCCAGTTATACATATATATTTGAAACTATTTTGCTCCTGATTTTCATAAAAAAAAGCCCTCAAATCTAGTTTACCTGACGATAGATCATTGTTCATTAAGAAATCGCCTGTACAAAACTCCACATTTTTGAAACATTCATCATTTACAGTTGGACACTCCTTTGTAGATGAGGAACACATATTAAAAAAATATTTAAAAAAAAAAAAAGAAGCTATGTCCGGTTTAAATAGAGGTCAGTGCTGAAAAAGACAAATGACAGGAGATTATGCAAACTTGGGTTTTCGCGGAAAAATGCGTTGATAATATCTTTTTTAGCAAACGTCATCCTGTCAAAAGTTTCAAACAACCAATAGAAATGCAATGTGTTTTATGGATTTGCAAAAGCTACTTAAGCATAATATATTTCGGAAAGATATTAGAAAAATCAGGAACCTATACTGGCAGCAAACCGCCTGTATACGGATAAAAATGAGATCAGTAAATATAGAAATGAGGCACTGTGGTGTAACGGATAGCGGCCTGGATTGAGGAATCGGAGAGCCGAGTTCGAATTCCATTACATTCAATTACGTGCTAATACGCTTGGGAAAGGTATGAATCCTCTTCTACCCACCCCCAAGATATGGGTAAATAGCAGGACTGTCCAGGTTCTATAGCCTTGGATGACAACTAGTCTACCTCAGAAAGAAATAGCAACCTACTGCGGGAAAAAGTCTGCCTCTTTAGTCATGTATCGATACATGATCACACATGGCACATAACTGACTGAAATATAGAAAAAAAGGATGTGTCTTACTGATCTGACTTATTCACCTTATGCAGTGAGGTCATTCTGAGAGAATTAGAAGTCTTAGCAAGATTAATTACTGGGGGGTCACAATCTTAACAATATAAGATATGCAGATGGCATAGTGCGGATAGAAGACACGGAGGGAAACTACAAGAACTCCTACAATACGTATTGAAAGAAAACGAGAAAAAAAACACTAAACACCAAATGTAAGAAGACGAAATGCATGGTTGTCAGCAAGAGAAAGAGCACGACATTCAAGTTACAATTCTGAGATACCAAAATCCAACAAGTACAAAAATTTCCATATCTGTTAAGTGTTTTAACAGAGGACGGAAAACACTGATATCCGAAGGAACATTCGAATAGAGAATGATGCCTTCCAAAAGCTAAGCAGAGTATTAAGAAACAGAAAAAAAAATTGTTAGAAACAAAGAAAAATCTACTGAACTGTTATGTGATATCAGTCCTCCCATATGGCAGTGAATGATGGACAATCTCCTCATAGATGAAAAAGAGACTTGAAGTGACAGAAATGTGATTATACAGAGAGATGCTGAGAATACCATGGACAAAACATGTGAGCAGCGATGAAGAAGAAAATGGAAACAAAAAGGGAACTTATACTTAACATCAGAAAGAGACAGTTGAAAATTGAAATGAAGAAGGGGGGCTTGGAAAACGTTAATACTTATACGACATAATGAAGGCAAGAAGAACACAGGAAAACAACACATAACCTACATAGCGAGCTTGAGTAAATGGATGGCCGAGCAAGGTTTAGGAGAGATAACAAAAAAACAAAAATTATTAAGAGCTATAAAGAACAGGAAATTGTGGAGAGCCATGATCGCCAACGTCCTGAAAGCACAAAAGAAGAATAGGTTTAGTGCGATGTGTTATACAAGACAAACACGTTATAATGTCAAATCATCGGTTCTGAGGATTCTAAACTTTGGATAACTATAATTCGGTTTGATCATTCAGAATCATTCAGTTTTAAGCCTCACAGAAAGTAAGAGAGGAATGTTAAGCTCAAATATCTAACAATGCAATCGACGATGTCCTGTCGTGGAAATAGCAAGGACATTATTCAATCATTAAATTAATTTATGATTCTTCGTTAACGTCCTGAAGGAACACGGCCTATAGAAGAACTTCAAATGATTTTAATACATTAAATGAATACATAATAGCAATAAAATATTCCATAATCCCCCATGTATAATACGTATTTTTTCTAAAATATAACATGCAAAATTAGGGGTGCGTATTATGCACAGATACAAAAATATCTTTAAAAAATTGCAGTTTCATAGGTCGACTTCAGTTGCGAAATGACTTACCACAAACATACGACAATTTTGACACTAACATTCGGCGGTTGCGACCTCATAAGGATGTCAAATACAATCATATGTACCTAACAATATTTACAAATGTAAAATAAAATAAATATT